GGCCTCCCGCTGCCGGGGCCCGTCTCCATGCAGGTCGCCATCGCGGCCGAGCCGCGCCACTGCCTGTCCGTGGCCTACGGCGGCGGCTACCTGGGCGCGACCCCGTCCTTCGCCGCCGGCTGCTTCGACAGGTGACGCCAGGAGAAGGGGGGGGCGCGGAAACGGAAGCGGCCCCCTCCCCGGGCCCGGGGCACGACCCGCCAGCCGGTTTCCGCGGCCGGAGCCGAGGCAGTCATCGTTCTGACGTAGCGCCCGGCGAGCCGTTCACGTCTGGCTCCTGTACTGGTGGGAGTGGGAGTGGGGGGGGGGCATCATCCTCCGTGCTTGTTGGGATATCGGCGGAGGGCAACTCGGACACTCAGTTACCCCAGGTGGCAGAGTGCTCACACCCCCGCCCTCTCTTGGTGCAAATCCTTCCGCTGGAGAATCGACTCCCTGCAGTGGTGGTGAACTGAAGGGCCGAGGGTCTGTGGCCTGGTGGGGGGGTCTCCAGAGTGCTACAGCTCTCTTTCAGCTGTGGGGGAAGCCCTGGAGCAGCCGTCTGTTCTGTTCGTCCGGAGCAGGAGGCGGGCCTGACTGGGGAAGTACCCCCTCCTCATGGTCTGGCCTGGATTTCCTGGCGTTGGGAACATCTTATGGGGGGGAAAGGATTCCTGCTGAAGCTGTTTCGGGGTTTTTAGGCTACTGATTGAAGGGATCTGTAAACTCTGCCGGTTTGTGACCCCCTGACCTGCATTTGGCTCAGAAGCCGGGTCCTGTACCCCCTCTCCACCTATGTGCTGCTGTGAACACCCCCAAACTACCCCAGAAGGTCGTCCTGCTGGAGGGGCAAGTGCTGTTGTTTTTATTGAGGGTTTAACTGGAGACCCTGATTTTGTTGGAGTGTGTGTGTGGAGGGGGGGGTTTAATTCAAAACAGTTGTTCCCAACCCCCGCCCCGCCGGTAATGCCCAGTCTCTTACTCGCACTGATCCAAAAATGAGACTTAAAAACAAAATAAATCAACAATAATACCTCAGGGAGCAAAACTGTTCGAAGATCGATTTCGCACTAAGGCGACGAAAACGAAACTCCGCCCGGCTCCTCCGCCCACACGGAGGCGGAGGAACTGCGGGACGTTTCTGGGCGAAGACGAGCGAGGGGCGGTTTGAACTTTTCAGAACCCCTCGGCATTGAGGTTCCGTGAGTGTGTGGACGCGAAAACAGGCCTGTGGACGTGGTAACGTTTTCATCTTCTGGGTTCGCCCCCACCCCCCGCGCTCCCGTTTTATTTCAGGAGGAATACGGAAATAACCGGGACCACACAGACTCTCTGTCCCGGGAAAGGTTCAAAGACTCTTCAACTCGATGCCTTAAGGACTGTCAGGGAGCGAAGGGGCGGAAGCTTGCTTTCTTTGAAGATCTAAAAAAAAACTGAAATGGATATTTTGAGGAGTCTCTTTTTTACAAAATATTATTGTACTTTTTACAAATCCCGTGCTGCTTGCTGCCTTATGATTGAACTGAACGGTTTATTACTGTGACTGTTTTCTCTATTGTTGTTTACAGAACCTCGCTGTATCAGGGACCTAACATGTTACTTGAACACAATGCCATTTAAACTTTAGCCGTTATTTATAATGTTACCCGTATGGGAGATTTTGTAGTTTTCTTTTTTTTATAACTGTTCGGTAAACACTGTCTGTCCGTGGATATACAACGTCCACGTTTTTATCCCGGCCTTTCTAGAGCAGCGCTGTACAGTCTCGGGCACAGGAAGTGACTTCCTCGAGTCCTCGCTCCGCTGGTAACCCTGGAGACGAGGTCAAAGTGCGCGCTTCTCTTCCGGCCCAGCGCACATCTGTAAAAAAACAAAATCCAGAACAGAAAGGAAGGAGGGTTTTAAATTTTTCGGCATCTGCTGCAAAAAGATGGGCTCCTACACGGCTATTTTATTGACTGAGTTTGAATAAAATCACAGTGGGATGCAGAGCGGGCAGTTTTCTCACTGGGAGGGCCGGAGAGGAAGCGGATTTTTGATTGGAGAGGACGAGGAGGACGTCATGTCGGTGCCAGTGGCTGTCCAGGGTTTCCGGTCGGTTCCTTTTTATTTGCCTCCTGGGTGTGAAATGTACCCTAGGCTCTTCTGCTGCAATGCTCAGGCGTGCTGCGCAGGGGGTTCGACTCTGTGGCCTGGGGCACAGGCCTAGTGCCCCATCACACTGGACTGCAGAGTGACAGTCTACCCAGCTCCCCAAAGCAGCCCCTACCACGCCTCCGTCCAGAGGAGTCGGGAACTGTGCTGAGCTCCGGCAAATGGCGAGATCAGATTGATTTTGTGGAAGTCTGGTGATTTTTAACCACATTTTTCTTAGTGAAAATGAGCCTTAAGGCGATTGAAACCAAGAGTTTGTCATTGTACTGGTGCCCATTGCTCTGCGGAGCTCCTGTGAATGTATTTCACTGTGCACGGTGCTCTTCGGTTCAGAATTTCAGCCTTCTGGGATACCGATGACAGGGAGTCCCACCATGCTCGGAAACCTCCGTTTTCTGGGCCACCTGTCTCGCCTGGTGGTGCTAGCTTGGTTTTGCACTGTAAAAGGAATACATGCTTCCACTTTTTATAAAAAAAATCTCAGCTGCAGTTCAAAGGTATCCGTCTCTCAGCTTCCATAAACTGGAATATTTTTCACTATTTTATTTTTCCTCGATTAGCATCAGATTAGTCTTCATTGCTGAAAGCAGAGCTCCTGGTCGGTTCATTTGATTGGATTTTTCTTTGAAGCCACCAGACAAAACAAAATCGCACATTCCTTACCTGAAGAAAATTCCCTCCCCCCCTGTCATTTTGACTCATTGGAGGGTTAGATTCCAGAAAGGGGCAGGGTGGGGGTTGTCCCAAGTACCTAGTGAGACCACGTTCCAGCCTCATCAGAAGCAACAGCAGCAGGAGACATAAGAGAATCAAGCTTCCACTGTTTTTTTTTTAAATTTCTTACGATGTGTTTTAGTTTCAACATTTTGCTTGATTTTGTAGCTGTCCTGTCTGTGTGTGTCCAGTTGGATTGTTGTTTTGTTTGCTGAATGCAGTCTGGGTTCAGTGAGTTTCCAAGCCATTGACCGGCCATCCTGTTACAGTAATGAGAGCCTCTAACTACCGGAGGTCTCAGAGTGCAATATACTGAGTCACTGATATCTCGGAACAATAGCTATTCTGTTTAGACTGACGTTATACCACTAGATCCTCTTCTGTTTTTTTGTAACTTATTCTTGACAGATGTGAGATTATTGCTTTTGTTGTATGATAAACTGTAGTTTTTAAGTTCTTTGCCTGCTGCCGGGGGACAGTGAGTTTTGATCCAGTCGTGAGAATATGTTGCATGTTGCAACACTCCGAAATGTGACCCGGAACGACGGCGCCAAAGTCCTCAACGAGACCCATGGCACGGATACTTCGGAACGCTGGTGTTTTAAACTGATTTTTTTCATTGTTTTTATAATTACCGTTTTTTTTTTTTGTTTTGTACATGAGAGGGAAGAGAAACATGAAACCTCAGAAGCTCAGTTGTTTTTTTTAACCTAAAGCGGGTCAAAATAAAGACTGAACAGATACCGAAACGAAAGCAGGCTGCTGCTCGCGTCTTCTTTGGAACATAGAGGCCACGTCGGTCACCGTGCACCCCCTCTCCCCCCCCTTCAAACCAGGGCTCCTCCAGCTCCGATCCTGGAGGTCTGGAGTCCAGGTTTTCCAGGGCTCCCTGGAGAATGAGTAAATGAGTCCACGAAGTGCTGATGCGATCGGTTTAACCTTCCTTCCTGGAGCAGATATGTTGATAAGGGGACGTGCAATACTCGGCTCTTAAGGAGCTAATTCTGCTCATTTCTGGCTGTACTGGGCCTGTAGGTCAGCAGTGGAAGAGCTGTGTCCTGGAGAAATCCGGAGTCAACCTCGGCGTGCCACCCAGGACCTGTCTGCGCCGTCTCGGGCTAGAAATGCGCGTTGGGCAAGCTCAGGGGGTTAGGGTCCAGGGTCACCTGTGAGTACTTGCCTTTGCCAGCAGCCATATCGCTCTGCAACTCACAACTGGCAGCCTCACTGAAGCCCAGCAGGTGTGAGCCTGGTCAGTACCTGGATGGCAGACCTCCTGGGAAAACTAAGGCTGCTGCTGGAAGAGGTGTTAGTGGGGCCAGTAGGGGGTGCTCACCCTGTGGTCTGTGTGGGTCCTAATGCCCCAGTATAGTGACGGGGACACTACTGTAAGAACAGGTGCTGTCCTATGGATGAGACGTAAAACCTAGGCTCTGACTCTCTGGTCTTTAAAAATACCAGGGCGTTTGTTGAAAAGGGTAGGGGTGTAACACAATTTCCCATTGGCCCTTACTAATCATGGCCTCCTAATAATCCCCATCTATGAACTGGCTTCATCATTCTGTTCTCCTCTCCACTGAGAGCTGGTGTGTGGGGAGGGTACTGGAGCAGCATCCAGAGGGGCTGCACACTGGTGGTGGTAGAGGGGAGTCCCCATTACCTGTAAAGAGCTTTGAGTGGAGTGTCCAGAAAAGCGCTATATAAGTGTAAGCTATTATTATTTGGAAAGCGGCTGGCCTCATCTAAGGTTTTTAAGCCGAGTTGGCTTACATAAAGCACACAAGTACACTGAACGATTGAGAACATGCCTGAAAACAAAAGGCCCTCCTTATGTGGTAGCTGCGTCAGCATGCGTAGGCTGCAAAGGAACAAGTAGAGGTTTATTCCATGCTGAAAGAAGAAAAGAGACAACTTTTCAGGCGGTGGAGCCTTCTTCAGGGGTCAAAGTAACTTTAAGATTTTAGGAGATCAAGTCAAGACCTCCATCCAGCTATCCAATTAAGCCCATTGTTTTGTTTCCCTTCGGAAGGATAGTTAAAGGCGCAGCTGGAATTAAATGGATGTCGCAGGGCTTGAGGCTAAAAAAAGCTCTTTAATTAGGGTAACAGGCCCCAGTCTGATGACTCCTGCACTTGTGTAATGCACAAATCGCATTACAGCACAGCTCCTTGTGGGAGCTGGGGAAGAGCGCACTACAACACAGGCCATCTTTGAGACTTTCATGAATAGCCCAACGATCGGGGAATTTCATACTGCATAGCTCACAGTGGTGAGGATAGGGCACCGAAGAAAGGCCCCCATACAACACGGGGCTTCCTACAATGTGTGCTTCACAGCGATCCTTGGGGAACGGCGAATGAAGGAGGAATTGTGTTTGTGTAAAAACAAAAAGCACGAAATCGCAAAATGCCCTCTTTTGTCTCCGTCCTCGTGTATTTGTCAGCAGCTGGTCACGGAGAAAGAGGAGGGGGGCGGGTAGGGATTCCAGATGATTTTAACCACGGAAGTCGCCACCGGTCAGGACTAATATTTGTCTTTTTTATCAGTTTCCGAGCCGTGAAGCGAGACGCTCCCCGATCTCAATGGTCCAGTTCGGCGTCTCTCGGCCCCTCGCGACCACCGGAAACCGTTCCCCCGGCTACAGGCGAGCAGTAATTGGGCTCCCCCTGCCCCCGCTGTTGTTGGGGGAAAGTCTGTCTTCGCCGGCCCCCGCCAGCGTAATGGCGTTTTAATGGTTTGTTTAGCAGTTAGAGGAAGAGACGGGGGATAACAATCGGAACTATTGTTCCGTCTGTGCGGGGTGAGGCTGGGTCGTAGGGGATATGTAGGGTTAGGCTCTCTGCCATGGGGCTGCGTTCATTTTGTGGATGCAGATGTAAACCTTGATGAAGGAAAAAACGTAAATTAAGATTTATTTTTTGGGTAGCGTTTTTTAGCCTCATTGGAATCTACAGTGGAACGCCAAAGAGAGGACGCCAGGGGAAATTACAATGAAGAGCACTTTACACTGAGAAAACAAGAGTCAATTCTTTATAATAATAATTCTTAGACTTATATAACGATTTTAAAAGTGCTTTATAAGGCACTTGTTACTTTACAAGTAATGGGGACTCCCCACCACAACCACCTGGATGATGTGGCTGCAGCCATAGAGCACCAGTACTCTCACGTCACACCAGCTCAGTTCATAGCTGGAGATTATTAGGAGGCCATGATTGGTAAAGGTCAGGGGGAAATTTGGACAGCACACTGGGTCAACACCCCTACTCTTTTCGAGCAACGCCCTGGGATTTTTAATGACCACAAAGAGTCAGGACCTCGGTTTTATGTCTCATCAGAAGGATGGCGTCTTTTTTACAGTATACTGTCCCTGTTACTATACTGGTGCATTAGGGCCCACACAGACTGCAGGGTGAGCGCCCCACTGTGAAATTTAAAACTGTAATTATAACTTCAATGTTCCGAAGACGTCTAAGATTGGGATAAATTACAGCAAAGGTCAAGAAAAACAAATCTGTCGATTGGGACAGGGTATTCAGGTTGTTGCCCCAGCTTGATCTAGGCAGAGTCTGGGTCCCTTCTGGCTCTTAACGACTGACCACTCTCAAAAAGATGTCAGTGATACATTGGAATGTTTTCATATCCTCCGGATCTCTGCCTTTATACAACGTTATCCCTGGTTTGTTTTGAAAACTCCTAGGACTTCATGTTTAAATTTTTGCTTGCCGCTCACAGAGACAGGTGTATTTCACCTGCAGTCATGTGACCCATCTCAATACTGCACACAGAAGCCGCTCCGCTGATGGCGTGGTACATTAAGGTAGTGCACCTGAATTAATTTAGGCGTGCCGCAGCGGAGCGTCTGGATACTTTTTGTTTATAACAAATATTGCTTCGTCAAAGTGCCATGCCAATGAATCAACACAATATGAAAACTGGGCAACTCTTTTGCAAGGCATGTATGTGCAGTGAAAAAAAGGATTAGCAATAGAGATCGAGGGCTACTAACTATAATTTATTGAAAACTGCACAACGTAATGACGTGCCTGGAGTGAGTACTGCAGTCCTTCATCTGTGAAACATATGAATGCATGACTGATTTCTTTCATTCTACACGAAATTCAGAAGTCCTCTCGTTTTTAGCATCTTTCCGGATAAAAAGAGCAGGCAAGGCAATCAGAAGTTAAACTATTCACCATTTTATAAAAAATTTTGAGCAATCCCAGTTTTTAGGCCACGTTTCACGTGATAAAGCCTGATATTTTTTTCCCCAGTAACGACTTCAATCCGCCCGAGAATCCAAGACACCTCAAGCCATCTCCGTAGTCAGAACCGTGCTAAACCAAGAGGTGTGTGCTCCCTCTTGTGGTTTATTAGCGTTACTGCACCCCTCGAGTCGACAAGAAGAGAGGAAACCGGTATGTGGACTATGACTATATTTGAACTAATGGGAAACAGCGCAATGATGTTCCTTCTCACAACAGGAGTTTTAAGTACCATTTGTTAGCCTATTATGATTTTTATATCAGCGTTATTTTGTGTTTCCCCACATTTTCAACTAGTTCTGCAGGACGGCCCTTGGCCCAAAGAACACAGTTATATGGACAGACGTCTGAGGAGCGCTGTTATTACCCACAATTCAAAGGAGGTGCTCTCCCCATGAATTTCAATCGGCTGTCGGGCGGAGGTGAAAAGTGTGCAGTACGTTGGCTGGGGGTTTGGATTCTTATCTTTATTAAGCGGGACAAGAACTCAATTCACCTGAAAAAAATGCATTTAAAAGTTTATGGTAACTGGCCCCTACCGTGTGCTAGTAAATGTGAGCATCAGTCGAACAAAGTTGTTGATCTCAGTGAAAATCTTCTGAGGGGAGCTTTAAAAGCCCCGGGGCTGGGATTGTTATCTTCGTGATGTTTGGAAGAGCTAACCTCGCAGAGCTGAGACGTTCTTGCTGGAAGAAAAGCAACAGGAAGTTCCGCTTCAGCACTGCTGCGGAGCCCGCGTTAGGAAAGCTGATGAGGAAAGAGGGCTTCTTGTGCTTTTCCCTTCCGTCTCATTGTGCACGCTCCTCACAGACTGCGTCTTGTGAGCTTCACACCCTGTCTCCGAGGCGCGCGGTGTTTCAGCACACTATAGCCCTGAGCTGAGGTCTCACGCGAGAGGCAATGAGCACACAGGTACCAGAAAATGCTGGAGGAAAGGCATCCTTTTATTTCCCACACTGACCACAGGGAGCTCATCTTTACACATGGTGAGAAGGTAAGAGTGCAGGCGAGGCAAAGCCATCGGCTCTTCTGCACATAATTTACACCCTGGATATACTGTATGTTAGCCTGTGGTAACCCATTAATTCCACCACCCCAGTCAGAGCATCCACCCCTGTCTGTCCTGTCTGCTTTCTATATAATAGCCAGTCCCCAATTCCAATACACGCATTCCCTTGCCTGTCTACTGCCAGCAACTTAAGAATTGACATTTCAGGAGCAGCTTTATGAAATGCTTTGGAAGGTTAAGTTTTACTACATGACGTCCTCTGTTTGTATCCGTTACTGCTGCTGTTTTTTCAAAGAACCTCAACAAGTTAGCTGGACTGTTTTTTGTTTTTTTTGGGGGGGGTGGGAGTTAAGGGAATTTGAATGAATTTGGGACAGGAGGCGCTTCTTTACGCAAAGGGTAGTGGGGGTGTGAATCAAGAAGCTCAGCCGTGGTTGTTTAAGTTGATAACCTGGCTTCTTTCAGAAAACAGCTGGACGGGAGTCTGGGATCAATCAGATACTATCACCTAAACGGAATGGATGCCTCTCTTGGCAGTGCCCTTCCTGATGGTCTTCTCCAGCTTTTCTTGCAGTCTGGGGTTTGCAGTGGCGGCGGCCGGGGGGGGCGCAGGAGGTGTTAGATCCTCTTGCTGATCCTCTTCATTGTGACTGTACCCTTGGCCCCACTGGCGGTGGAGCACTGGAGAGGAGGAACGGACAGCGACAGAGCTTGTGAACGAGCAGTCCCTCTTCCAGCTTGTTTTATTTGCATGTTTTAATTTCTCACTTTGACCAGCGAGAAGAAAAAAACACGTCTGTTTTTTTTTTTTTGGCAGAAGACACCTAGGATGTGAAAACTAAGCAACTGAGACACAAGTCATTTTGGGGAGGTGATGGTGGTGATTGTAGCAATAATGACACAGAATTACAGTGTAGTTAGCAATAAGTTTCTAATTTTGCAAGCGGACGAGTGATAGGTTTATTCCATGCTGAAAAGAGAAGAAAGAAAACACAACGTTTCGGCTGTGGAGCCCTGCAACAGAGCTCACTGTCTCATCTGCAAGTACGTATCTAACACCACACTCATTCGAGGCCCCTCAGGACAATTCCAGATCGCACAGGCAACCTCCTGTACCTCCAGCAAACTCATTGACTGTATCTCTTGCAGTAAATGCCCAGCCGTCTACATTGGGGAAACAGGAAGGAGACTCGGAGACCGCTTCAGAGGACATGATAGGGCTGCGAAGATTAAAGATCTCTCCAAGCCCATCGTTTCTCATTTCACCTCTGACGGCCATGATCACACTGATCTCTCCGTCTGTGTTCTCAAAGTAGGGTTTCTTTACTCCTATAGCAAAAGGAAGGCTCCACAGCCAAAACGTTGTGTTTTCTTTCTTCTCTTTTCAGCCTGGAATAAACCTTTTACTTGTTCCTTTCCAGCCTATGCATGCTGACGCAGCTCCCCACCTGAACTAATTGTGCGAGCTACTTCCTTCCTGCAGGAAGCATACCACTTCATCTCAGCTTTTACCATGATATCACTGTGTTCCGTGCATCATGTACCAAGCTAGGCCAGAGTACTGCCACTGGAGGAGACGACCTCGCAGGGGGGATGCCCACATGAGCTCTGTACTTTCCTGGCTCAGGGGACCCAGGCTGGAACAAACCACAAGCTTCTCCACCAAGGCTGTGTCCCTGCTGTAGCTGCAAGGCGTGTTACTACACCAAGAATGAACTATCATTACAGATTTCTAATTATCTTTCTGCTGCCCTGATCACACAGCCCGGGCCCTGTGTTAGAGAGACTAGGGTTACAGCTGGAAGGGGGGGCTCTGTACCCCACGTCTTTGACACAGTCCTGGTCCGTTCATAACCTCCATCCAACCACTTCTTCCAATTCAGGATCATGGGGGAGAGGGAGCCTAACCCAGCAAGCAATGGGCTCAAGGCCAAGTACAGCCAGGATGGGACACCAGTTCATCACAGGGCACACAGACACTCACACATGCCGGGGCCACATTTCTTTGGGCTGTGGGAGGAAACTCGAGCACCTAGAGGGGACCCACGCAAACACGGGGAGAACTCCACACCTCAGGTCTGGAATTGAATCCAGGGTCCCAGTACTGTGAGGCAGCAATGCTACCGACTGTGCCACTGTGTCGCCCCATTATCACCCTCCCTAAACGATACATCGTGCAGCCTGGCTCCCCTCAATCTGCTACCCTCTTCGGCCCAAGACAAGAGGTCAGAGGTCACCGTCCATCACCCAGAGGTTGGCAGGCCAATCAGGAGCCTGTGGGGCGGGCAGAAGGACTCACCTCGACCAGTTTGTCCCCGCTGACCTCGGCCGTGTGGTGGTAGTTGGGGAAGCGGACGGAGATCTTCCCACCCTCCATGGTGACCGTGGCCTGGTGGAGAGAGGGATTGGCGCAGGTCTGTTAGACGCAGAGGAGCCTGGGAGTCAGGGCTGTCTCAAAGGGGGCGGCCGCTCAGGGTCCCCACAACTGGCCAGCCCCCCCCAACACCAATCCCCAGTCCCGCTTCACACATGCATAAAAATATAAACACATACATGTTTAAACATTTGAATAAGGTGACACACAAAACTCTCATTTTGAAATCTAAAGTCAGTGGGAGAGCAGATGCTGTATTCAGAACCGGAGGCCTGTCCCGCACTCACGAAACTAAGAATGGAGTTTCTTGCGAGTGTCCTACAGTCTCAAAGACCCTGATCGGACTAAGAGGCGTCCCACAGGAACCAACGTTTCGAACTCTGTCTTCTTCAGTGCGGTAACACATAACTGGGACAGGAAGTCCGATCTGCAGCGTTAACCCCAGCGGGAGTTTCCTGCCCGGAGAGGAAGCAGAAGGGCCGGAAGCGTTTGCTTTTTCCGAACGGGACGCGACTCACCTTGAACTTCTTGCCGGCCATGGTCTCCATCTCGCACTCCTTGTCGAGGACGAACCTGTTGCTCATGGTCTTGGTGGGGTACACCTGCGACCAGGTGAACTCGTTCCCGTTCTGCTCCACCTCCGTGACGATCTTGAAGTTGCGCCCCTTCTCGATGATGTCGTCGGGGATGCCTGAGGCAGAGGGAAAAGCGGGAGACGTTCAGGAATGCCTCTGATTCTGCTCTTTCGGAAAGCTCTCCGCATTATCTGGCTTTTGGCTTTCGACACCCATTCCTTTAATAACCACCGTTATCATCATGATTTCAAATTACATCACTTTCATCTTTATCCCATTCAGGGTCATGGGGAGCCGGAGCCTATCCTCAAAAGCAAGGCGGGATGCCAGTCTAACACAGAGCAGACACAAACACACACTCACACCAGAAACAATTTCCCCAGAAGCCAATTAATCTACCAGTGTGGCTTTGGACTGTGGGAGGAAACCCATGCAAACATGGGAAGAACATACAAACTCCACACAGACAGCACCCCAGGTCCAGAACTGAACCCAGGATGGGACTCTATTGCTGACACTTGGCATGCTTTGATTCAATTTGTACTGTTGTACTGCAACACGCTTTACGAATTTGCAAATCTGGATTGAACTCCAACATCAGGTCGGGTTCTGTCTCTTCCAGGTGGGCAGAATGGCCTCCTCTTGCTTATTGCCTGTTGTTTTGCACAAAGTCTGGAGAGAGACAAATGACTGCACTGAATTAAAACTATAGAAATATACAGAGAGCACAGTGTTTCTCCGGGTGACACACTGTTGAGGCTATGAGATGCAAGAGATAGACAGGCAGGCAGAGAGACAGGCAGATGGGGAAAACAGACGGTCTGGCAATTAAACAGACTGGCAGGCAGGCAGACAGGCAGGCAGGCAAGCAGACAGACAGACAGGCAGGCAGACTGGCAAAGAGGGACAATCTGGCGGAGAGACATAGGCAGGCAGACAGACAGACAGACTGGTAGTGAGACAGGCAGAGCACCAGATAGGCAGACTGGCAAAGAGGGACAATCTGGTGGAGAGACAGAGGCAGGCAGGCAGACAGACAAGCAGGCTCTTACCGATGTGCTTGAGGAAGTCATCATAGTTCTCCTGGCTCTCAATCTCATACTTGCCCGTGAAGGCCATGACTTCAGTGCTGCGGGTTCGAGGGAGGTGAGAGGTGGCAGGAAGCGGACAGGTACAGAGGCAGCGTTTCTCCCTCTTTAAATACCTTCTCTGGCTGCACCCCCCCGTCACGCTATAAAGTTTTATGGAGGCACCAGGTCTCTGGCACGGCTTCAGGGGTGACCAGCGACGGTCACTAACCTCAGTGTCAGTCACCGGAGAAGCCGGCAGGGGGGAAGTAGATTTCGTCACGATCAAGACAGAGGCATCATAAAATGCCGGGCTCAGTTGCACATCTGCTATGGGTTAATGATTTCGAAATCTGAAATAGATGAGCCGCTGCCATTTTCCAAAGACAAATCCCAGCAAACTAACTGATGCAGCACAAGTCAGTCCCTGGAGCTACTCTCAGGGGCTCCAGACAGATTCACCCCCTGGACAGGCTGGCCTTGATTTAAAAAACTAGCATGAATTCTCACGTGCAGGACAGTAAGAGGCAGGTCAGATAGGAATACAGTAACCCTTTCAGATACTGTTTTTTTTATTTTCAATGGCAGCACTGCAGAGGGCAGTTTAGTAAATGTGGAGGTTAGGGCTGCTGCCTCACAGCTGTGGGGTTCCAGGTTCTATTCCAGCCTTGGGCGTCTGTCTGTGTGGAGTGTGCATGGCTTACCAGTCTTCCTTACTGATCAGTCAATGATGAACACACACAGGGGGCACTAGCACTGTCACTGCACAGTAGTTTTGCACAACGGAGAGATTCGCAAGAGGTCCACCCATCCAATTTCTAACCACTTTATCCAGTAGAGGGTCACAGAGGAGCCGGAAGCAACAGGCACAGGGCAGGACACACCCTTGACAGGACAGACGGATACAAGTACACCTGGGCCGATTTTCCCAGAAGGCAATGAACAGGCCAGCATGTCTCTGGACTGTGGGAGCAAACTGAAGCACCTGGAGGACACCCACACGAACACGAGGAGAACATACAGACTCCACACAGACAGCACCCCAGGTGCAGAATTGAAGGGATTTGAGGACTTGAAGGTGCTGTGAGGAACCAATGCTAACCACTCTGCCACTGTGCTGCCCTTGACTTTTTCTCCAGATAATGAGATCAACCCAATCACTTAGATCAGAGGGGGGGGTGGTGCAAATCTGAGGGCGCTATCTGACCCCCAGGGAGGCTATTACACACTGTGGTCTTGAAGTTGCCCTGTACAGTGGGAAACATCATCTGGAAAAACATAGTTTGGTATATAACACTATACCCTTCTCTGTGTGTGCTTCGTGTGCAAGATCTCCTTGACCGAACATAAATAGAGGCTGTCTTGGCGGATTGTGTGCACACGGCTCGGAGGTCAGTGGCCCCCATCTTGTTGTAAAACAGCCCGGCTCCTCCCGCTCTGTTACTCATTGACACGGTGAGGGTGTCTTCAAGGCTAAAGGCGGGTCGCAGACGACGTCCTGCACGGCCGCCGTAGTCTTTGGATCCGCGGTTACGAAACCTCCGAATCCTAAAAGCGAGGCCCAATTTGTTTTATTCCTCTCCAATAATTAACCCCCCCCCCACACACACACACACACTTCCCGACTAGCCCCCGCTCACAATTCACGGCTTGGTGAAAAAGCAGCTTGCAGCGTAGCGATGTCTTCGGAGGTCGGTTTTTTTAGGCGTTTTAAGTGCTGGAGCAAAGGTTAGGGCTGTGTACCCGTCACTGGAATATTGCAGTTCCTGTATCCCCATACCAGTGGGGATATTGGCCTAGATTACCCAGTTAATCTGCTGGTCTTTGGTCCCGAATTGTCCGGTTCGGTAACCTACCGAACACATCCCGAACCATCTGTGAAATTGTCTGCCACTTTTGTCCGAGGCAGCGATCCCCGGCCCCCAGTTAAACAGCTGGCCATGTTGCTGGTATGGTTGCTGGTATGGTCTAGAGACGGGCAGTACAGGACTCTGATGGGCGCTCTTGCCTTGTCTCACTCCCTTTAGAGTGAACTCTGTCCCAGAGCTCTGAATATACCGTTTGTATTCAGCTCAGCTGGAATTAAAATCAGCACACCGCGAGTTTTCCCCGACCGGGGGCTGAGAGAACAGTCCGGGGCTCCTGGCAGTACCATCGTGCCAGGGCGCAATGTGCAGGACCAGTGTAGGAAGAAATTCAAGACTTTAAACGTTGCATGTTAATAGCACCACAACGCTGAATGGTTTACTTCCTCATTCCAGTGGGACAAACATAAGGTCTTTGTATAACGCTGATTTTAACATCTAATTTTTCCTTATTATGCAAATATGCTGAACAAGTTACTTGTTTTTGTGCTTAGACGCATGTATGCATTTTGTCCCAATGGCACAATGTATTCTGCTGTTGAATTACTAACTGGGATTTTCTTCGTTTTGCTTTCAGCTTTTAAATTTAAGGCAGTTATTCATAAAGAAGCGTGAGATAAGTGTTTTTTTTTAACAGGATGGTTTTAAATACATGCAGTGATTGCTGCATGAAGCGATATCTGGCAAATCTTCGGTATCGGTCTTGTCCGGAAGACCAGAGCCGCGCGGAGTCTCACGGACGGAGGGGGGCGAGTTTTACTCGGCGTGTTTTACAGCTGCTGTCGAGGACACACGCGAGAACCGGCCTTGACTCCGGTTTTATGAGTTTACAGTCCCAACCGAGATGATGCAAGCGCCTGGCCGGGTGAAACACATTCGCGCTGGGTGGAAACGGCGAACTAGGCCGGCCCGGGATGTGGTCTGAGTTCTGTGTGTCATATATCGCAAGGCAAGCTGGGGTCGCGAACGGGAGAAATATAATTGACCAGATCGAAAACACTTCAGCACGCTTTAACATCGCAGAGTGGTCTGAAAATCAGACTTCTCAAATTATAAGAGACTGAGAACATAAAACTCGCTATATAGCGCCGATGGCCAGTTCCAGTTTTTTAACCGGGAAACGGAAAAACCTCAAGGTTGGAATTCAATTGAATTTTTTTATCGAACTCGGCCGGCATAGTGGCGCAGTGGTGAGCTTTAGTGCCTGCAGGCTGGAGCCCTGGGCTCCTTTCATGGGGTGCTATCTGTGTGGAGTTTGCATGTTCTCCTCGTGTTTGCGTGGGTTTCCTCCAGGTGCCTTACTCTGTCTTCGTCCAACAGAACAAAGATGGCTTGTGGATGATTTAGGTTCTTGGCCCTGGGGTGAGTGTGTGTGTGTCTGTGTGTCTGTGTGTGTGCCCTGTCATGGACTGGCGTCCAGCCCAGGGTGTATCCTGCCTTGTGCTCGTTGCTTGCCGTGATAGGCTCCGGCTCCCCCGTGACACAGCACTGGATAGCAGTCATTGAAAGGTATCAATGTGATGATAACGACGTAACACAAAACTGTATCGACAGAGCCCCCTAGTGGGAGAGAAAAGAATACCAGGCCAGATGAGCTCACTGTCGCAGCCGTGATGTGACCCATTAATCGCGACGGGCGGTGCAATGGGTGCAACTGCACCCGGGCCCAGATCTGAGGGAGGCCCGTTGCTAACGTAATTAAAATGACAGTGTTTTTTTTAGAAAACACCATCCGTAAAATAACCGAACGAGAGTTCGTATGTCAGGAACGCGGTGTATTATCCAATAGCACTATTAGTCTCGCATATTTTAAAGTAAAACACAATGTTCTATTGAAAAACACGGCTTTGCGGATGATTTGCAATTGGTCATTGGCGCGTTCATTCCAAAATATGTCGAATTGAATAACGCGACCTGCTCCTCTGCAAGACTGAGCCACAGACAAGCTGACATTAAGCTAAGCTGTGTTCGGTAGTGTGCAACACGAAAGCGATCCAGAAATGTAAGTCGGGTAGCGAGAAACGCAAAGAACAGAAAGGAGAATTGGAGAGGAAAAGTTTAAAGTGGAGTTTTTCAGTTGCTTACTGGACACTGTCGTCAGTGAGACAGAAGAACGTGTTTATTTCAGCCGTCTCTTTGGCATTTTGTTTGTGACATAAAAATACTGTCTCATCTGCTCCCCAAAGAAGTAAACACTCAACAAAGATATGAAATCTGCGTTCCCAAACACAGTGATAGCATTCCAAGTGTTTTTAGCGATTCATCACTGTGGTCATCACTCTGCTCTGTGCTCTGAGCTGGTGTGTGGGGAGCGTTCTGGCGCACTATGGCTGCCGTCGCATCATCCAGGTGGGGCTGCACACTGGTGGTGGTGGAGGGGAGTCCCCATTACCTGTAAAGCGCTTTGAGTGGAGCGTCCAGAAGAGCGCTATATAAGTGTAAGGAATTGTTATCATCATCCCCGTTTTTACCACTTCACGGTCTGAGAAGCTACAGTAACCTCTGCTCAGGCCCTCAGTGCGGCGGCTTTGTACAGGACCAAGTGGGCCGGGCAAGGTACTTCCTCCAGGTGCGGCCAGTGCTGTGTCACGGGGGAGCCGGAGCCTACCGCGGGCTGGCGCTGGGAGCCCACCCCGCTGGGAGAGGGCAGACTCGGGTGGTACACACCCAGGGAGAGAGGAACGGCTTCCCGCCGGTTTCCCAGCCACTGCGTCAGCAGCGCCTCTCACCCGATGAAGTCATACGCGGCGGGAGATCCACAGCATGTCTTTCATGCGTATATGATGGAGATACAATATTACTTGAGCTCCACTAAAAACCCGAAACATATCAAAGCAAAGTGAAAAACAATCGATGTATGTAGAAACGTCTCGCTTTTGGTGTTCTCTGATGTGGAATGAGCCCTGCCAGCTGTCACTGAAAGGTATCAATGACACCAAGACAGCGTAGTGTTTTGTGTTTGGGTTTTGTTCATTTTTGGATACCTTCTCTCCTTTGTTTGGAAGATGGAAAACCGGGCTCTGTGATCCCCGTACCCTGCTGTTCGGCGGGGGGGAAATGTATTCGGTACTTGCAGTCTGTCTGAAAAGATCCATCCGTTCAGTGTTCAGTTCAGTTTACTGTCATATGCACAAGTGCGATGAAATGCTTATTTGCATGTATGCTCCAATTAAAAGACATTGAGGAAACACCAAATACATGAACACGGAACAGCAGCAGCAGCAACAACGAGTTAGTTCTAGGGGCAATTCTGATGTCTGCCTTAAAGGCGGTGTGCATTTTTTTTT